TCAAATTTAATAAGGATCTTTTCTCTATTTTTGTTTTCTCGTTCTGTTGTAGTAAATATCTTCCAACATTTAATAAGGATCATATGTAAACAATAAATGCTGTCTATATTTTGGCCTTTCTCGTTCTCAAATTCTTCCAACATTTAATAAGGATCATAAAATAAATCTATTTTGGCCTTTCTCGTTCTGTTGATGTAAATATCTTCCAACATTTAATAAGGATCATATGTAGTAATAAATACTGTCTATATTTTTGCCTTTCTCGTTCTGTTGATGTAAATATCTTCCAACATTTATTTTTAGTAATAAATGCTGTCTATATTTTGGCCTTTCTCGTTCTGTTGATGTAAATATCTTCCAACATTTAATAAGGATCATATGTAGTAATAAATGCTGTCTATATTTTGGCCTTTCTCGTTCTGTTGATGTAAATATCTTCCAACATTTAATAAGGATCATATGTAGTAATAAATGCTGTCTATATTTTGGCCTTTCTCCTATTCATATAGCTATATCTCTAGCATTTAATGAGGATTATAGAAAGTAATAAATAACTCTATTCAAAATGATTTTTCTCTTGCTTCTTTCATGTCTTTTTTGTGATGTCAACCTTCTTTCTAATCTTTATCACTCTATCCAGATCCTATCCTTAGGAACTTCCTTCCAAAATGACTTGAGGATTTTTCTCCATTCTATGAGCATGTATAATTGTATGGTTGTCAGCAAGAGCAAGATCCCATGATGCGATTAATGAATTGGGGATATAAATATCATGTATGTGTAGACGTCTAAATTTCTGGGAAGTCTTTTAACAGAGGATGGAAAATGTGACACCGAGATCTGAAGTACGCATTGGTTGAGCAACAGAAGCATTCCAAAAGCTAAGCAAATTTGCGAGAAATGGAAAAATTTATTAGAAACAAATAAAAGAGTCGCTGTATTGGGATGTGGTATCTATCCTTTTATATGGCAGTGAACGTTGAGCAATCTCCCAAAGGACGAGGAAAAAACTAGTGGCTGCAGAAATGTGGTTCTACGGAAGGATACTGAGAATTCCATGAACGGAGCGAGTAAGCAACAAGGAAGTCTTAATGAAAATTGCAACAGAAGGAACTCTTCATACAAAGGATCTGCGGTTCATATAACATCAGGACAACCTTCAAAAGCTGGCCGACACTTCGCAGATATCTCTGCCGAGTAAGCCCCCCCCCCCGCCGAGAAGAACTTGACGAAAGTCTGTGTGTACGCTATCCCATGCAGCTGCGGAAAGAAATATAAAGGGGAGACAGGCCGCCCCCTTAAGGTAAGGCTTAAAGAAAACCAAAACGCTGTAGTACGAGGGGAAGTGGAAAAATCAGGCGTGGCTGACCACATATGGAGAGAGAAGGGAGATCACCGCCCTCTGTAGGATCATAGACAATGAACACCATTGGAAAACTTAAGGAATCAGCACATATGCTAGGCCACAAAAACCTCCTGAGCCGACCAAGCATAGAAATGAATACAATATGGCAACCAGTAATAAGGAGTGCCGGAGAAAAGCGATAACAACAACAAAAAATTGCAATATGAGCTCTGGTAAAAACATGAAATGATAACAGTAAAAATTGCAATATGATCACTGATAAAAATGGTTGCTGAAGACATTAGGTTTATAATACCCAGAAATTCAAGGAGACGTGGCACAATGGATAAAGGCGTTGGTTAGATCCAGTGACAGGACCCAAAGAGTGTGAGTTCAATACACGGTTAAGGCAGTGGAGAACTGGGAGAGGGAAACTTAACAGGAGATAACTGATAACTGACGTCCATTAAACATGGCACATGGAACTAGAACAGTCTACCCCAATGAGCGAAATAAAGGGTTCAGCTCAACATTCCGACCACCTGAAGAAGGCTGCAGCGTACAACGACTGAAACGTTGTAATAAATATGGCGACAATAGTTCGAATAATGTAAATGGTGTACAGGAATAGAGGTTTATCCCTTTTTTTTTTCTTTTTTTTTTCATGTTTAAGTTTCCGGTTTCTTCTAAAGTTCTCATTCTCTTTCACTTGCAGTAGCCCCCCCCCTTGCGTCTTAGTGGAATTTTCGCCTTATGTGGGGGTGAAATAATTAAAAACTTAACCTTCACCGGGCATGTTGAGGGTAATTCAGTTAGTTTTGTGCCATGCGTGATACACGCTTAGGCGATCATGTATCTTTCGATACATGACTAACGCGGCAGATTTTTCCCGCATTAGGTTACCATTTCTTTCTGCAGTAGACCAGTTGACATCCAATGCGATAGAACCCGGTCTATCCTGTTATTTACCCATAGCTAGGGGAGAAGGAGAGGATTCATACCTTTCCCAAGGGTATTAGCACGTAAATGAATGTAATGTATTCGACTGGAATTCGAACTCGGCTCTCCGATTCCTCTAATCTGAGCCACTATCCACTAGTCTACCGTGCCTCCTCATTGAGGGAAAGAAAGATAGATAAAAGCAGCGAATCACTTTACCTAACGAGCTTGCGTGAATGGTTTGCGAAGTGGAGGGTGTGAGCCTTAGCAAAGCGAGAAAAACTGCTAAAAATCACACGAAATAAGAAGTTGTGGAGAGCCATTATTTCCTTTGTCCTGGAGAGATGCAGCACATAGAAGAAGTAATTTGTTAATCATATGATTTTATTACGATAGTTTTTTATCACTCGGATTATAGTATATGGCATTTTTATCTCACACGGTAAATGGCGATTTCACAAGCGTCACAAATACATACCGTTCATAGGTGGCTTTCTTTCTTCTGTGTAAGACATTCCTGTCTCTTGCAGAGTTAAAACAACTTTTGAAGTTATCGATGGCACGTTAACGTTTTAAATTATTCTACTTTGATGATGCAGTTGTAACAGAATCGGTCCTGTGCTAATTAAAACGTAGTAAATATATTCAACAACGGCTTTCAACCCAAAGTCTTTCATGTCCTACTATAAATATGGTTTCCAATATCCTTTTAATTTAAAAGATTCTTTTTCTCCCCAACACCTTACTAAATTTGATTTCTCTTTCGACTTGACTACAAAGCTCAATATTTAGGAAGGCATGAAATCAAAATATCCTATTTGTACACAATTTACACACCCAGAACTCAATTCGGGCGGAAAATAAAATTATATTTCTGAAGAAAAGGACGAAAATCGAGTTTATAAAACGAAATAGCCCAGAGAGAAAGATAGAGAGACTGGTCGAATAGTGTTAACACATTTGGACTGCCTTTATTGACGCGTGTTTGTCTGTGTATCAATTTCAAGGGAATAAACCATCCAATGACTTCAACACATGTTCGTGTTGTTCTCTTAACCTGATATTCTTGATGGACGGCATCTGTCACGGAATTCTGGGATTGTTGATGTTCATCTTAGTTGATAATTACGCTTCCAGAAGTGATTCTCGTGGCAAAGAATAACAATTTCTGCCAAGATTCTTTAAGCCATATATTCAAGCTAAATTTCATTAACAGACTTCCAGGAACTTTTTCTTGTTAATTCTTATTCTTAATATAGTTTTGGTGTTGCATGTTTATATATTTAGAATCAATACCAGACGTTATTCCATATTATTAGAACGAATATTTTCATTGTTATTGTCTTTATCATACCATTTCCGCCGAGACGTTCATCGGCCTTCTTCTTATTTTCTGAATTCCTATTATTAAATATTTTCATTATACTGGTTAATATCTTCATCGTTGTTGTTTTTATCACATCATTACAGCCGATACGTTCTTCGTTCTTCCTTTTCTGTTTTTCTGCGATTAAATAATTTAATTGTTTCATAAATTATAGACTAATATCATCATTGCTGTTGTTTTATTACATCATTTCAGCCGAGATGTTATTCGGCCTTCCTCGCCTCTTCTGAAAATATTATACAGATTAATATTTTTAATTAATTTTTTTTTTTTTATCCTTTCAGCCGAGATGTTCCACGATCTTCCTAGCCTTTTCTGAAATATTTCCCCATATATTATACACACTATACAACTTTACTGTTTTTATCACACCGTTTCGGCCGATATACTTTCGGCCTTCTTTATCCGTTTGTTGATGTCAGCCCTCATTTTTATAAACTTGTTTATCTGTGGCCTTCTTACTGGGAAGATTAAAAACAAAAGTTACTTCGACACATCACCAGAATCAACAGACTTCTGAAGATGGCCTCAGAACTAATCGGCTGAAGCTCTACGATAAACATAATAAACATGAAGATGCTCGCTCAAATTAGGACTAGACAATAATCCGACTGTATTTTTGTTTTTGTTTTGTTTTTTAGGTAAAATCATTAATTTTTTTAATATTGATTTTCAAAGGCAAGGCTGCCTCGCTTGGAAGATTGGCGCAACACAATCTTACTTTCGCTATTATAGTCCTTTTGACATTGTAACCTTAGCTTAGTAAAAACAAAGAAAAATTTAAAACGCATAATTTTTTTACTACTTTTGTTCATATTGTTTATATTCCTTTTTATCACAGAACTCAGGTTGGGTTTATAATTCTACGATCATTCTACAAGCATTATGAATCAAAATTTTTAAATCCCCTGATAAAATTTGATTATGAAGAATTTAGTTATATGACTAAATTTGTTGGCTTCCGCTGCCTAATCAGTAAGGCGCCGTCCCGGTTAGACAAGGTCTCAAAAATACGAGTTAGTCTTGTCGGGAGGTTATTCTCTGTTTCCGATCCATGTTGCTTACAAAATGGTAGTAGATTATAAACTCGACCTGAACGTTGCGATAAAAACGATGAAATTAAACTCGTAAAATGTAATAATCATAAATGTATCATCTCAGAAATGCGAACAAGTTTTTTTTTTATGTGACGTGTGAAGAAGACGCAGATGATCATGGCTCTTCACAACTTCCTATCCCTTGTAACTCTAAGCCATTTTGTCCACTTACTATTTCTCCACGTTAGCGAGGTTACTTGCCGTTTCACTGTGTCGCACTTGTTTTCAAGGCTTACGACCGTATCACGTTGAAACACCAGTTCCCCTACGATCAACAAAGTTAAGCAATGTTGAGCTT